AGGCCATTTTATAGTAGGAATGGTTTGCTTTCATGGAAAACACTTCCTGAGCCATGAGGCACTGTGTATTGATGAGGCCTCTGGACATGGTTGGGTTGTCGATATGGACGCGCCACATGGAAAACTGGTTGAGGATTCACATTTAAAAAGAAAGTGGAACCAGAGAGTGTGTCGAGTTTTCACACAGCTAAGCATCCGAGGGAAAACTTACGCCAGGGTGCAAGAAAGAAAGCTCTGAGGATCCATTCCATGCTGCCTTGGACAGACTTGCACAGTTGCTGGAGGAGTTATGGGAGTTTCCTCTTCCCCCTTTTCATGTGATTTGTGCACTTATAGAAGTCCATGTTTCTCCTATGGGGACTACAGCACCAGCATGGGGTATCGGAGCTGTAACTGTGTCCAAGTACTTGCCAGAGAATTTATATGGAGAAGTTAAACACGTTGGTTTTAGCCTCCGCCAGGGTTGTCCCCTGTCACCAATCGTGTTAGTTTGATTTTCATGAGCAGGATTTTAAGGCGCAGCCGGGGGGGAAGATAGCGTCTTGTTTGGGGACCTCAGAACTGCCTCTCCGTTCTTGGCAGACGATCGAGTTCTGTTGGCGTCGTCAGACAGTGACCTTCAGCAGGCATCGAGGTGATTTGCAGATGAGTGTGAAGCACTTGGGATGAGACACGGCATCTCCAAGTCTGATTCTGTGAAGAAAAAACAGTTGACTGTATCCTCCCGGGTGGGGAATTAGCTGTTGCACCAAGAGAAGGATCTCAAGATCAGCATTGCAGATGTTGCACCAGAAGTTTGTGGTGAAGAGTTTGAAGGCACATTTTTTTTTACCAGTCAGTCTACTTTCCAGCTGTAATTGTGAGCTTTGGGTAGTGACCAAAAAGAACGAAACTACAGTCAGAAAAAGTGAATATTTTATTGCTCCTTTGTTTTAAAATATGAAACTTGAGGTGGTCCAGATGCTACTGGATGTTTTTTGGGCTGGTTTTCTAATTGGTAGGCGACCCCGAAGTAGACCCACAAAAAATGAAAAATTAAATCTAAAACCGAAGCGATTTACGATTTTATAAACAATTTATGGTTATTTTACAGATTTTTTCCGTCTTGTGTTAATTTACAAAAAATAACTTATATTTTAAATAATAACTTATATATTAAGAAAAAAACAGGCCAAAACAGTACATAATTTAAATAATATCTAAAATTTATATTTAAAAAATGGTAATTCGTTGATTTACATTGTTAAATGATCAAATTACATGTTTTTCAGCTGTGTTTAAATCAGCAAAGTATATCATTATTTAAAACATATTTGCTGTTGTTTGAAAGAAAAGGATAAAAAAATTATTTTTTAAAATGTGATTTAAATATTTTTCTTTTTTTGTTAAATAGCGGTTTGTTAAATTATAGATTATATTTAGTAGAATCAAAGAAAATTGCTTTTATGCATTAACCCTAAAAAAAATGGTAAAAATGGTAAATAATGCCATCAGTATTTTTTTTACAAGTAGTAATTTGGTCTTTTAACAACGTCTAACCATAAAAGAACACAGTTTTATTGTTTTAAATAAAATATAAAATAAAAATTATAATTATTTTACAGATATTTGTCATTATTTTCACTCTTTTTGTAGTTTTTGAACACTGCAGTATTTTTCTGGCACTTCTGCGGCCAGATTTTCACCACTTTATACAGATTTTTTTTTTTTTTTTTACAGTGCCAGAAAAATACATTACACAGTATATATCCCACCTGGCCTGGAAACACTGAAATATCACCTTGCTTCTACTCTGGTTGAGCCATAGCAGATGGATGGATGGAAAAAGCGACTACACAAAGCTTTCAGTACCTGCATGAAAGAACTTTTGCATTAGCACTTACACTTATTACATTAGCACTCACATACTTTCAGCTGCAAACCACTCATCACATTTCTCACAACGCTGTAAATTCATCCACAAAGAACGACACACGCTGTATAGCACACAAAAACATCGCATACCCATCCGCCCACACACACACACACACACATATCCAGTCAAACCACCGCCCACACACACACACACACACACACTCAGATACACACACAGTCACACAAGTGATAATCTGACATGTGATGTGAATCTTGTGTTCAACTCGATTTAATTCACAGGTTCATTAAAGGTCAGCACGTCTCTCGTTCTCCCTCAACCTTCCTTTTATTTCCCGGTGCGTCGTCTCGTGAAACCACAGCTTCATCCTCACTTTCTTTCTTTCTTTCTTTCTTCCTCCCCAGATTCCCTCTGTTGCTTTTTTTTTTATTCCTCTTCTCTTCCCATCCCTTCCTCCTGCCGCTCTCTTTCCGTCGGTAATGTTCCCTTTGTCCTTGTAGCCCTTTTTCACCAGCACGGTCCCGCTGACAAACACATTTGATAAACATGTTGTCCTCTTTGTCTCTTTTTTTTTTCCCCCCTTTGCTTTTCCACCATCTATCATCAACCTTTTTTTTTTTTTTTTTACTCTTAGTTGCTGCCATTCTTCCCCTTGACATATGGCAGCTCGGTGTTTTGCTCTTCTTATTTATTACCGGGGAGGGGGAGTCTGTAAGTTTGCGCCAAACAAAAGACATTCATGTCCAGTGAGGTGTTGCAGGTGTGTTGCATGTGATGCATGTGTGATTACATACAGTGTGGGCGTGCAGCAGATTCATACCTCGTTCCTGCCGTTCAGTTTGTCGACATCACATATTCATGCATGTGGATATAAAAAGAAAAAATGAATATCAAACCCTTTTGATACACAATTAATGCACGGCAACATATGTGCATGAGGGCAGATACCTAAATTACCTCTACCTGCAGGCATCAGTGGTGGCAGTTTATTGTTCATCCTCCTCCTCCTCCTCCTCCTCCTCCCTCCTCCTTCTCCTTCTCCCCGGGGTGCTTTCACCTCTGTGGTTGCTATGCTGCGAGGTGCTGGAGTGGATGATGTAATCTCCACTAATACTTTTGTCCCCCCCTCCACCCTCCACCCTCCACATCCTCCGTCTTCCTCTCCGCACCCCGACTGTCTGCCTGCCCGCCTGCCTCTGCCATCTGAATCCATGATGTCATGTTAGGATTGGGCACGGAGGATCAATGAGTGCCCCCTAGTGGGACGTCACGCTCAATTATGTCTTTGTCTGAGAGGCGAAGGGTTCAAACGCAGAGAGGAGAAAAAAAATGGTGGTTGGGGTGGTGAGGGGGGGCGCTGCTGCTGTAATTGGAAACTGCCTGTAGTTTGCGCATCACACAGGAATTGATGTATGGTATAGTGTGTTTGATCAGTGTTTGTGCGGGAAAAAAAAAATCCTGTTTATCTGTAACTGTGCTACTATGCTGGCTCTGTAGTTTCGCATTGATGATATTCCTCTGTGTTTGTGTTTAAAAAAAAAAAAAAGGGACGTCATGATCTCCAGACTCTGGGGTTAATGCAAAGGAGGTCTTCGAAACGCCTGCAAATAAACACTAAATGTTATCTTTGTGTTGTGATAAAAAGCTCTGACATTTTCAAGTAAATACGCGTCCCGTTCGCTGCTCTCTGCCTCTGATTGATGTGCCGCGGCTGTGATTCAGCATTTATCCATTTCATAAGAGCTTTTTACATTTCCTTTATCTTGTAAACAGATCAGGTGTCAGTCGTCCGCCGCACAGTCGAGTAGGGGACAGAAATAAAAATCGGTGACACTGAATGAAAAGAAAATAAGGCCCAGATGTTCTCAAAGGTTTTATGCACCGTTTTTCCTCTGATGAAATTCACAGTTTAAAGGGTTTCACAAAAATTTCTGGAAACTCGCTTGTCTTTCATGATATGTATGCATTCAGATAGTTCTGCTGCATCCCCAAATAAACCTGGAACTTATTTGTGCTCTTCACTGTGGAGAAAAACAACGCCTTAAAAATTCAAGAGCAGCATCTCCTTCCAGGAAATAAGTGACACTGTTAGTCTGGATGATCCACCTCACACTCTGTGAACTGCTTTCATAGCAGCATAGCATAGCAAGAAATAATAACTATAAAACTTGTTTTTGTGATAAATTATTAATTTAGAGAAACTCCCCTTTAAAGTAAACATTTTTTTGTCATCAGGTACTTGTACTACAACAAATGTTTTTAGGAAAAGCAGTTCAGTGCACGACAAAAAAAAAAGGTCACAATATATGAAAAATGGCCAGATGGTGTTAATTTAAAGGTGGGGTAAGCAGTTCTAATCTAATACGCTTTTTGTGTCAAATTCAAGGTGTCCAGACTTTATGGTTGCAGGGACAATTCACATGGACAAATCCACACACTATTAGAGCGTGTTCTGTGCACATTCATGCTTGTGCACGGTTGTGCTCATGCACGTGGGCAGATGAAGGTAAATCTGGCACATGCTCAGTATCTAAATATCCATCCATTATCTATACACCGTTTAATCCTCACAGGGTCACGGGAGGGCTGGAGCCCATCCCAGCCAACTTAGGGCGAAGGCAGGGGACACCCTGGACAGGTCGAATATCTACATATGAAGAGTTCATTTGCAAAAACAGATGACTCCAATTTTGTAGATTTTCAGAAAACTTTTATGTTGTTGTTTGCTTGAGATCATATCAATCAAACTGAAGCTGAGTGGATCTGACTCAGTAGTAATGACAAAAATAGAGATAACTTAAGTTTGATTGTTGTTGTCTCAGGTAGACGATGGAAAAGTGGGTTTTCTGAAGGTTTGTGAAGATGGAGTTATCTGTTTTTGCAAATGAACTCTTCATATGTGAACTCACTAAATATCAACAAGCTTCTTTCAGAATTGCAGACTTCATCTTTAAATAAATGAACATAAAAACATTAATTTTATCTGCCAATTTTTAAGAGATTCCACCTGAAACTGATCACTCAGTCCTCCTAAAATAAAGACGTCATCCTGAGATCTGTTGTGAATGCAGCACCATTGTGATGACTCATGGCTGTAATATCATCATTTGATGCTCCTCTTCCTTCACACCGACACTCCTTTCAAAACACCAACATGTTCCTTTCACCGCGTGCAACACATAATGCTGCGCGATGTGTGAGGCATGACTAAAGCGGGGATTCCGACAAGTAAATGAGCACAGTGTTTGTGTTGTTTTTGTTTTTTTTTTACTGGCTATCTCTGTCTCCATCTCTTATCTTTAAACCCTGCTGTGTGTCTCCTGCAGCCTGGCCCAGGTATCGTGTGCTGCGCGCTCTGGACATCGGCCAGTACAATCTGGAGATCTCCCACGCCGAGCTCTCGGATGATTCTCTGTACGAGTGTCAGGCCACCGAGGCCGCCCTGCGCTCCAGGAGGGCCAAGCTCAATGTGCTCAGTAAGTGATCAGATGCAGGGGATGTTTCTCTGATTTTCTGTTTACCAGCAACGTTTAAGCAAAGCCCCTTTTCAGTCTGAAGAAATCTGAGCTGTACAAATACAAAAAAATGCCAAATTGATACTCCTGTCTTGGAGAGTTGTCACTGTGGCTCCTTTCCAGTTTGAGATGACCTGTGTGGTTGAAGTCACATGGTCAGCTTAGATGCTCCGTTATGGTTCAGTTGCTTCTACACATATTGGGTCCGTCACTCCCTGTTAGGTTTCCTATCTGCTTCCATTTGGCAAATCATTAATCTGCTTGACAAGTTACATTCAGTGTGCATTTTTTGATGTCAGGAATACACAACAAGCAAACAAAAAGACTGCAGCCGTATGTCTTTGTGTAACTTGGAGGCTTGAAAACCAAGTTTGTGTCCAGAATCTGCACAGCTCTCGAGAAAAGCAATAATTCAGTCTTCTCAACCCCGTGAAGCTGCCGGTCTGATACGTCACCATGAGAATCTCAACTTTAACCTTAAATTCAACCATTCTTCATGTTAAATAGAAATTCAAAACCTGTTTTTCTTCATTTGTTCTTGAGTGTAGAATTCTGATGGACAGGAAGAATAAAATATTGAGATGCTGGTCGGCCAGCAGCACAGAGGTTAAAGGTTAAAGTAGATATCGGCTCACGGGGGAAGAAGTTGGACAACAGACTTGGATATAACAACAACATGAAATAATTTAGCATTGCCCTTTGCACTTTTATGTTATTGGCCTAAGAAGCAGATTTAGAAGAGCGTGTGTTCCTTTGACCTATCATGTGCAAAGCTGGACAGAATTTAGTTGATGCCCACTATATGTACAGATATGTTTTCTTCGGTATGCATGAGTGCACGCTTGCAGAATTTATTTTAAAGTATGCGTCTTTCCTGCAGTCCCCCCCGAGGACCCGGTGGTGGAGGGAACCCCGGAGCTCCTGCTGATGGCCGGGACTCCGTACAACCTGACCTGCGTGACCCGCGGGGCGAAGCCTGCAGCTCACATCCAGTGGACCAAGGATGGAGTGGCCGTGGAGGGAGCCTACCAGTCCACGGTGACTCACAGCACGACCAGCAACATGCACACATGCAGATAATAGCGGCCGCACGTGCACAAGACAGGGAAAAGAGTCATGCATCATAAAGCGCACATAAAAGCAGATGAGTTTATTACGCTGAAATGAGATCTGCAAAAATCTCACATGCCCGCTAATGGCTTTGAGAGAGTTTGCAACACAAACGCTAATACTTACAATCTGCTCCTCGATAAAAATCCACTCTGGGTCTGTTTGTTTGTTTGTTTATGTGCTTCTCTTGCCGTGGGCACGTTTCAAAGGGGGAGTACAGTATGTACACCGCACAGCAGCCTGAGGTCCTGCGCGAGGCGAATAGTGTGCAGAGCGTGTTGGAGACAAAGTTAGACTTTCTCAGTTGACAACATCTCAGCAGATGGAGACCACATTCACTGAGAAAAGTTTTGACAAAATGCAGATTCTGACCTGCAAACCAAAGAGCGGCGGTTTGTGCCTTGAAACCTGGTAGCAGGCTGTAAGCATGTCGACTAATGCAGTATTTATTTTCTGGAGAAGCAAAACCATAAGTGAAATATCTCATCAGTATCTGTTTGCTACAGCAAACTAAGACAAGTCATTTTTCCAATATTTGCTAGAAGTAAATGCTCAAGGGAGGAATCGCAGCTTCTCAGAGCAGCACTAAGGTTCTTATGCTCTTTTCTTTGGCATCCTACTGTAGGAGTCACTTTGCTTGTATACGTTGGAGAGTATTTTTTAGTTTTTCATGTTAACTGTGGGGCTGCAGGGTGGCTGTTGGTAGCACTGTTGCCTCGCAGCAAGAAGGTTGCCGGTTCGCGTCCCGGTGGGGGCACCGGAATCTTTCTGCGTGGAGTTTGTATGTTCTCCCTGTGCAGCGTGGGTTCTCTCCAGGTTCTCCGGCTTCCTCCCACAAAAACATGTTGAGGCTAATTGGTGATTCTAAATTGTCCGTAGGTGTGAATGTGAGTGTGCTTGGTTGTCTGTCTCTAAGTGTAGCCCTGTGATAGACTGGTGACCTGTCCAGGTGAACCTGCCTTCGCCCTAAGTCGGCTGGGATAGACTCCAGCCCCCCACGACCCTAGCGAGGATTGAGCGGTGTATAAGTGATGGATGGATGTTAACTGCAGTTTTTAGACAGCTAGTGAACTCAAAATACAGACACGAGCTGCTGTGATTGACCAAAAGCTGCCGTATGAAACTGAAATTTGATCAAACTTGGCAACCCTAAGCGTCCTGGCCTTGCTGAGCTGTAGGGGAGTCGTCCCAGTCAGCAGCGTTAACACAGCATGTACATGTTCTGCAGGGTAGATACAACATATAATATACATAAACACCAATGTGCTTATATTTTCTTTCAAGGCAAAGGATTTCTTCACACAACACAAAGCCATGATATGAGAGTCTGTTGTGTTTTCGTATGTGAACTGCAGTGTGTTGACTCGTCGCCGCCCGCTGTGCACGCTCCATTTTCTGACATTTGTTGTTACAGTCTGTTGAATGGTCTGTCTGGGTCTGAACCGGCCTGCACTGTCTGCACTTACTTGTCCAGAGTTGTACAAACAGGCTGCTGGAGGGCCACCGATACCTACACTGTAAAAAAAAACAAACACAAAAAAGAAACCCCACAAAAAAACATGTTCGGTCAGCTGGATGCCAAAAACACATTCATTACAGTAATTTTAATAATTAAAATAAATTTTCTAGCCTTTATTCTAACACCAGATTGCATATATGTTGGCTTTGTGAAGTGTGAAAGATTTGAAATTGCCTCAATATGTATATTCATAGATACAATGATAAATAGATCGAATGATAAACATTATATAGATCAATGAAAAGCCTGATTTCAACAGTTTATCAATGCTTATTATCCACTTGTGAATTATCGCTCAGTCAACATTTTTCTGTGAGAACTAAAACCACTGAAAACTAATAAAATACATCTTTAGCTTAACAAATGAATGTAAAATTATCGAACCGTTCATTCTTTTTCTGTTAATTCTCACTGACTGTTTCTAACTTTACAATATTCAACTTGAATTTTATGGTTATTCAAAGTTTTGAGTGTTATTTTTTTTATCTTACATGCTAGTTTACAGACATTTTTGCAGTTTTATTGATATTTTTTGTGTTTTTCAACACTATGGAGAAAAATTAAACCTACATGACAAGGAAAACTTTTTACAGCGTGCAGCCACACTAAGCAGCAGAAATACAAATGTAAAGCCGACTACTTTGTGTGTACATGTTGTGTACTCACATAGCTTGTTGCGTACTTGTTTGTTAAGTTGTTGTGATGTTTATGTGAGTCGCTGCTATAACACAGACACCCTACTTTATCACATTATGAATAAAGACTGACAGTATTTGGTTTAGCTCCTTTTAGCTCCTCTGTGCTGAATTTTGCAGCGAACCGTTACAAACCGTTTTTGCGCTAAAGGTTTGCAGCGGCGGCTAATTAAAATTAGTAGTTAAATAAATGTACTCCCGCTAATTTCATAAATCTTGCATTCACAAAACGCTACACCTGCTGTTTTTAAATAGCTGGGCGTCTGCATGAAAATGTGTAATTACGCTCCTCCTCCTCCTTCCATATGCTTTGTATCACCGCTTAAAACAGAAACAAACGCATCCCTGACAAAACCAGGATGATCGTCTATGTGTTTAATCAACTCTTGATAAAGAACGTAAAGGCAGGAGCTGCACACCTGCACACGGTCTGATTACAACCCGTCCTCCTGCGTTCACACTCATGTATGCACACTCATGCTTCTCATGTTCGCAGCCGCAAACCGTGACTCACACACTGGAGCACAGATGTTTTTACATCTCGTCACAGGCAGCTTTATGCCCCCCACACAAGCTCATACATATTACATGCAGCTCATATATTACCGTGATACTGACCACGCAGCTTCACTACAGCCCGAGCGCTTTCTTGACACATTTTTTAACTCGCTGTATTTCAATAAAACCTCCCCTTACCCGAGAAAACTGCGATTTTTACGGTCATATCGGGCAGAAGAGATTTACGGCTTCTGTTTTACAACTGAAGATTATTTCCATTATTGATTCATCTATCAATTATTTCCTCCTATATCTTTCTTCCCACAAAACTTTATATATGCATTCTATTTCTGTCTGTGCATTGCTATTTATATTTTATTACCTCTCATGGCTCCATTAGTAACCAGCCAATATTTACCTCCTCTCTCTTCTCTACTTTCTGTTTTGTTTCTCCCATGATGCCTTCTGTTTCCTCCCTTATTAAGTGCTTTAATGTATAAGCACTAAAGCACACTCACTGCTCTTCCTCTGACTTGTTCTTATGGATTCTTCTGACTCGATTTTTGGCGCCTAACTCATCCTGCAACTTTGAGAAAACCCATGTAAATTATATATTAAAAACGTGCGGCTCGGTCGGGAATGTTGCGTCTTTGTTGGTGATTCATTGCACAGTTTTTACGACATTCCAAAAAATAAATCTGCATTAAATATCCCCATTGAAATGAATGGAAAGTCGGTCGAACCAAGCCATGTTTGGAACCCTGTTGCTCCGGCATATTTTACACTAGAAACTTCATTCACAGTTTAAACGCTTCACTAATTTTTGTATGTTATTTGTCTGAATCCGTGTTTTCATATGTTTTGTGGTTTTTACGCAGTCACAGTTATCTTTTGAAAATCCGTAATTTTTCATTTAATAACAAAAAAAGGGGCCGTTAAGCTCGTTTCCTTCTCACAATTTCTTCTCTACATGAGCGATTTATACATAAATATGTTGGGCTGCAGGGTGGCACAGTTGGTAGCACTGTTGCCTCGCAGCAAGAAGGTCGCCGGTTCGCGTCCCGGTGGGGACTGCGTGGACTTTGCATGTTCTCCCCGTGCAGCGTGGGTTCTCTCCGGGTTCTCCGGCTTCCTCCCACACAGTCCAAAAACATGTTGAGGTTAATTGGTGATTGTAAATTGTCCGTAGGTGTGAATGTGAGTGTGCTTGGTTGTCTGTCTCTAAGTGTAGCCCTGTGATAGACTGGTGACCTGTCCAGGGTGTCTCCTGCCTTCACCCTGAGTCAGCTGGGATAGACTCCAGCCCCCCATGACCCTAGTGAGGATTAAGCGGTGTGTAGATAATGGATGGATGGATGTTGGCATTTTTGCCTCCTTTCACTCAGAGTGACTCTTAGTGCCATAGGACTGTTATGTTTTCACAGATTAAAACTCTCATTCACTCCCATTATATCAGAGCTCCAAACTTTCGGGTGAAAACCAGAAACGAGGGTCTCTGTAACCTGCCACCAAATCTATACACAACATAGCAAGTACATGAAAATACGTTTAAAACAATATTGCGCTTCACACGGTGAAAGAATCTTTTCAATACGACTTGTAGTTTATGAGCTGTGGCTGTTTGTGAGATGCTTTCATGCTTTCTCCCATCCTAACACCTGTCCCGTCTTCTAGGAAGTGCTGCCGGACAGGAAACGGGTGACGACGAGGAGCTACCTGCCCATCACTCCGGTCGACACCGACAGCGGCAGCAACTTCACCTGTGTGGCCAGCAACCCGGCGGTGCCGATGGGCAAAAGAGCCACCGTCCATCTCAACGTCCACCGTACGCCAGTCCTCTTCTCCACTTGAACGCTATTAAAGTGCCCCGATGGAGCTCAGGTTACCGGAGCCAAGCTGGCTTTGTGTAGACACGCCGGAAAATCAGTCTATAATTTGAATTAGCTGCCTCGGCACTTGTCAAGTTAAAGTAATTATCAGCCAAGAAAAAAATAACTCAAAGGCTTTGTGTATGAATTTACAGTCACGATTTTTCAACACATTCTCAAACCTGGACTCGCTCCAAATTTGATTTAGCTGCTTGTGCTGTTTTGGCACCAACTTTGAGGCCAATAATCTTTACCTAAAGCGGCTCGGCGTGTTGATTTTCCTCAACATCTGGAGAAGCAGAAACTTTTTTGTGTTTGCGTGAAACAGGGAATGATTGCTCACAAGGAAACCTTAGTTTGAATATTTAATTAAGAAGACTGATGTGTTTTCTTTCCCATCCAGTGTAGTCGGTGAGTTCGGTGGGAGGACGGCGTTACTACAGATTTTTATTATTGTGGAAGCTTCAGTTTTCAGGACTTGTTTGTGTAAAAACCTGCCGATATGCATTAGTAATCTTCTTCCCCTGTGCAGACCCTCCCACGGTGACCCTGTCCATCGAGCCTCGCTCCGTCCTGGAGGGCGAGAGGGTCACCTTCACCTGCCAGGCCACCGCCAACCCTCCCATCATGGGCTACAGGTCTGCATTCACTTTCACTGGATACATATTTTGCACTGTAAATCGTTTTAACTTCATTCAGGTGAGAAGCAGAAACTCCCTTGCTGCCTTAAAAATCTGATTTAACTACACTTCAGCTGATTAAAAGTTCAAAATCATCTTATGAGTTGTTAAAGTGTAAAAAATTGGTTGAGTTAAATTAACTGAAGTTGAGAAATCAAGTTCAATAAACTTAAGATATTAAGTTGAATCAATTTCCTTTTACAGTTTCTAAGTTTTCTCTTCGTTTAACTCTGAAAAGTCAAAGTGTCAACTGCTGAAGCCATTTTTGACCAAAGACAACCTGTGGAGCTGCTTCCAAATTAGAATTATAAAATGTTCTCAGCAGGATGTTTTCTTTTAGTTCCCAAATTGTTCTTTTTTTGTAGGTAGGGTAACTAAAGCCATTATAAAAATGTTTGGTGATAACATTGTTAGACTGTGAATCTTGGATTAAACGCTCCTCCTTTGTTATCTTGTCACATTGTCCCTCAAAAACATTCCCAGAACCGAACATTGCAGACAGAATGTTCCACCTTTGTTAACACTACACAGACTGGGAAGGTTTTATAAAGAACATTCTGTTATCTGAGGTCACAGCAACATCTTAAAAACGTTTTTATCAACGCTGCATCGAGAACGCCGTTCCTTTGTTGTCACTTTCTACAGAAGAAGCTTTTTAATAATGTGCTCCCGAAATAAAAATGTTCCACCTTTAACATATATATGACATATCAGGAACGTTTCTCTGGGGACTTCATATCATTTGGTTTGAGAATGTTCCTCCTTTGTTATCACAGAACATAATCTGTGTTTCTATAGCGTCCACTGAATGTTGACATTATAGCATTAAATTAACTTTATAGGAACATTACTGAAAGTGAAAATATTCCTAAAATGTTCTTTAAACATTCGATTAAAATGAATTTAAAGAATTGTTAGAAGTTGTATGTAATGTTATCTAATGTTGTAGCAACGTTTCCTGCCAGCTGGGTTCCAATTATAGTGAGATGAATGATAAGTGATAATTTTCAGAAATGTTTTGAATATTATGAAAAGAAACAAGTGCAACACACCTTTATATATACATATATACATATCAAAGACACAAGTTTCCACTATGTTTTTATTAAACTACAATAAGGAGTTTTAACTCAATGCATTCTGGGAAATTGGCTTATATGCTGGTTCTGTTTCTTCACAGCGGCTCAATCATTTGACTCGTGTTATCAGAACTCTTGTTTGTGAATTCTAAAGTGTTCTGAAAGTGAGAATCAAAAGCTAAACTCATGTATTTACATTAAGTAAACTAGAAAAGATGACACGATTGGACTAAGTTCCTTGATGCTCTGATGCTCTTCAGTGTGAATATACAGCTTTGTGGTGCAGTTCAAGAGGTGAGAAACTTTTTGATGCCGGTCCAGCAGTGCAACACTCGGAGCCCAATCAGACGTTTAATGCCGATAGATTTTCCTTCATGCGTTCCAATCTGCCTGTATCCACCCTCTGGAGTTGCTCCTGAATTGCAATTTCTGCTTAGAGCACAGAATTGGTGAAAGTATCGAACATTTGTACAGTTAAACACTGACTTTTATCCTAAGCGACAGCACTGAAGCGCTGCAATTGCAAAACGCTGGACTTCAACAGTTTTAATGTGAGGTTTGAGACTCCACCGGAGGGTCTCGGTGTGGGAGCACTGCCAGGTGCTTAGGCACTAAGCCTGCCCAGTGTGTATTAAAATGTCTTCTAATGGAAGATGTGCAGCACGGTTATGTGGCTTTGCGTTGGCCAGATCCAGTATGGATCACAGAAATGAAAGGAAATCTCTTGCAATCATTCCCTCAGGTTTTGGAATCCATAAATGTGAGTTTAATTGATAATATAAAAACACTCATTGTCTAATAATAACATTTCAATCACCACTTTGTCTTTTGAGGTTTCCTGCTGCCTCTGGTCGACGTAGCGGTGATTTGAGTTGCTTGTTAAGCTGGTTGTTTCTCTGTCAGGTGGGCTAAAGGTGGCATTCTGCTGGAGGGAGCCAGAGAAAGTGTGTTCGTCACCACGGCCGATCACTCCTTCTTCACCGAGCCCGTGTCCTGTCAGGTGTTCAACGCCGTGGGAAACACCAACGTCAGCATCCTCGTGGACGTGCACTGTGAGTCGAGGGCAAACACTCCTGGGCCGAGCGGGATTCAGATGATGTGCGTTTGTCTTAGGAAGCACGATGCGTTTATCAAATCAAATCAAATCATACTTTGTCATTTTGCCAGACATACAGCAGTAGCGCAGGCTGAATGAAATTCCAACAGATCTCCTACAACATTCACCAAGTACACCATGCAAAAATACAAATAGATTCGAAAATGGAATAAAGTGCTAAAACTACAATATAACAGTAGCCAGAGTACAAAGAACAAGAACTAAAAAAGCTCAGATAACTAAAAATAGTAAAACACTGAAAATGCTAAAACACAAAAGATGTAAAAACACGAAATATGCTGAAAGAAGTAAAAATGGTAAAACAACTAAAAATGCTAAAATAACTACAAATGCTAAACCACTAAACATGCTAAAATAAGTGAAAATGCTAAAACAAATAAAAATGGTAAAACAAAAAATGTTTAAACACTAAAAATGCTTAAACAGTAAATATGCCAAAACAAGTAAAAAAAAAAGTCTAAAACACTAAAAATGCAAAAATAACTAAAAATGCTAAAAAAAATAAAAAAAAACTAAAACACTTATAATTCTACAACAACTACAAATGCTAAAAAGACCAAAATGATAAACACTAAAAATGCAAAAATAACTAAAAATGCTGAAGCACTAAAAACTCAGAAACACTAAAAACACTAAAACAACTAAAACTGCTAAAACAAAACCAGCATTTTATGTTGAACTACACATTACATATATGCGTTGTGGAGAGTTAATCTGCAGTAGATGGTTCCTGCATATTCTGTTCTCTCTGTTTAGTTCAGCCCAACACAGCCGTATTGTTTTGTCCAAAGCTGTTATGTAATAATTATTTCTATTAGACACTTAAATGAATTAAGTAATGCAAATAATCAGAATATTAGAGCGGAGAGGAAAATGTCCTGCACCGGTTCTGCTGCAGGCTAAATGAACACTTCTATCAGGAAGAATTTGAATAAGTTCTACTCTAATAGAACTGTATTTTACATTTTTTAATATCTTGACTCCACTTTCATTTTTTTTTCATGTTAACAGTTGGTGATCACTAATTGTACTGTTTTTCAGTCGGCCCAATCCTGGTGGTGGAGCCCCGGCCGGTCACCGTGGACGTGGACTCCGACGTCACTCTGAACTGCAAGTGGTCTGGAAACCCTCCCCTCACCCTCACCTGGACCAAAAAGGGCTCCAGCATGGTGAGAACAAACCACCCCGACCACCTTTGACCTTTGACTCAACAGTGCAGATTCATGTCTGATTAAAATATTCAACCCCTAGAATAGAACCAAACCTATATTAGAGACCCAGACTTCATAAATGTTTGCTCAGTTGTAAAGCAGACCGTTAGTAGTGAGACTCCGTCTTCATATCTTAAATCTTTAATTCATGCCTAACAAGTTAAGAAAGGCTCGAGGAAAAAAAAAACTAATGGAGCCTGCTGAGTAAATCAACATGTTTTATGAATTAAATATAAATCTCCCTCCCTCCTGCACTGCCGTTTTTTAATATCTCTCTCTGTCTGTCTGTCTGTCTGTCTCTGTTCTCCATCTCACAAACCTAATATCCTGTTTCTTTTATGTGTTTTAGGTGCTCAGCAACAACAACCAGCTGTACCTGAAGTCGGTGAGTCAGGCTGATGCCGGCCAGTACGTCTGCAAGGCCATCGTGCCGCGGATCGGAGTTGGAGAAACCGAGGTCACGCTGACTGTCAACGGTCAGTTCATATCCACTTACTTTGCTATTAATAACAGAGAAAACCATGAAACGTGTTCCTACGCACGGTGAAGCCCTGATTCTGTGTCAGACATGAATAATGTAACCAGATGCATCTAAGTATCCTTCTGTTAGCATCTCTCTGTATCTGACAGCTGTGAAACCACTGAATCTGCTCAGTACACGGTCCGAGTGTTTCCTTCGACCCGGCCTGATTCATTCCTGCCCGAGCTCGACCCAAACTAACTAATCAACTAATTTTTCAGTCCTAAACAGGCTAAAAGCCAATATTTCACTGTCAAGAACCTCCAGCGAGCACTTAATAAATCAAAACTGATTCACCAAGAACACAATGATGAAAAGGGAGTTCACAAATGCATCTTAAATCTTCACCAAATGACAAAGTACCCGGTCAGAGCAGAGAGGAAGGGAGATAAATTCATCAGCACGGCCTCACGTATCAACAGCAGATCTAGTGATCTGGTGACCACATGAGCAAAAATCACTGACAAGACAATACTTTATGTTAAATCAGTTAAGTCATCATGAAACATCAGTTTCATTTTCATGACTGACATCGAGCCGTTACGCATCGTTTCAGTGCCAAGAAAAAAAAAAAACATGTAAACATGTACCCACACTTTGGCCTGCAGCTAAAAAACAAAAATTTACATTTAATTATTTTAAAAAATACAAATAGATTAATTCATTTTCAAAAAAAGAGAAAGAGTAAAACAGGGCTTTTTTTTCTTTTTGCATTTTAATAGTGAATTTACTGTGAGAAAAACTAGAAATGTTCTATTTTTTGAATGTATATCTACAGTAGAAAAGGGAGAAATAAACAGAACAGTAAAGCAGAACTTCCTCTTATTATTTAATGGAAATTTTTATATTAAAAAAATCAATAACAAAATATGATCATTTACTTCAATGTAATGGTTTATATACAGTAAAAGATGCACTTTCTGTTATTTAATGATGTAACTAAAGTGCAAATACAAAAAACTTTTTATTATTTGACATTATATCTACAGTAGAAAAACTGTAGACGTTACATATTAATAAAGTAGCTGACAAAAAAAAATACTGTCAGACTGTCATGTAGTTGAAAAAATAAAAAACTTCTCTTAATTTTTTTTAAAGGGCATTTGCTGTATTTTAATGGTAAATCTACAACAACAAAAAATCCTGTTGTTTAATGTTTTAACAATGCTAATAGAAGACACTTCCTATTATTAGATGGTATATCTGTAGGAGAAAAACTGCAAATACTAAATAAATCCATAAAATACTAGAAATGTGTTTGTCTTGTAGTTTTAAATTTTTTTTATTTAATAAAATTTTTAACATTTACGGTGAATCTATAGTTAAAAAATAAAAATAGGACATCTTAAAATCAGTGGTGTACTAACTGTGAAATGACATTTTCCTGTTATTTAATGGTAAATCTGTTATAAGACATTTTAATTCTACTCTTACTGTGTGTTTATTGTGAAAATAGTATAATTAGAATAATAATTTCTGCTGTTTAACATTCTAACCACATTTTTCACACAACTTGTTAAATAAAGTCATAAAATAACAGAAAACATACTGGCAGTTTATTACCCAGCCATTAGCCTGTAATTTAATTATTTTTTTTTTTAAAAAAAAGGAAAAATAAAAAGAGAAAAAAAGCACATTTCTGGGGATTTATTGTTCACTTACCATAAACTAAAAGAGGCAAATTATGTCAATGTTATACCTACAGCTGTAAAACATAGTAAGTATAAGTTCAAACATATCCTTCACATTTCCATAAAAATACCCAACTACAGTAAATCATGTACTATTAAAAATATACAGTCATGTTAATACAGCTTAAGATTAGATTATCCTTAATTAATCACACAGTGGGGAAATCTACAGCAAAGAGAGCGCAAACATTTCAGGAATGATAATAAAAATAAACCAAACTATACATAGTCCTAAAACATAAAACTACTGCACACATCAGTGGTTTTTAGATGAACAGAAATGCTGATATTATTATTGCACAGATACATAGAAAGAGAACGGATGTGGCGTTTACTTCAAGCAAATTTTGTAAACCTTGAAATGATGATATAAATTTTGGTGTGACCAGAACCTGAATCAACAAATGTTCAAGGTTCTCTCAAAACCTAAGCTTAAATATGAGCACACTGTTATGATTGAGTGCTAGTAATCACTATCATCACAGCTTTGAGCTTCCTCTGTGCGCTTGTGGACGGTGACACTGTCAAATATAGTGTATATAATATAATGACATTAGCTTCTACACATCATCCTTGTATTGATTTATATCTTCCAGACCTTTATAAACGTTAGATTTTGCTTTGCTGTCTGTTGTTGTAACGCTCCCTGTTGTTGCATGTCTCTCCGCCTCGTCCACTCCGGCTCCCTCAGGCCCACCCATCATCTCCAGTGATCCGGTTCAGTACGCCGTCAGAGGGGAGAGAGGAGAGATCAAGTGCTACATCGCCAGCACCCCCCCACCCGATAAGATTGTAAGTCCGTCCTTGGAAGTTGTAATCTGCCGCAGAGGTGCTCGACCTCTTCAGATTGCATCTGCCTCAGACAGAATCCTCATCACAGCTCCGCGTCCTCGCCGAAAAACTAAATGATTTTTTTTTTTTTTTTACTTTCTGTGGCTAAAAGACTGGCTCAGGCGACACTGTTTTCCGGCTGTGTCACGCATTGGTGGGAACAATCTGTTCCTGCTCTGTAGTGGAAGGTGTGACTCATCAAAAGCAGCTGCCGTAGTGTTTGTGTGGAAACAAAGAGGAGACGCACAGGACTGCACACGGGGAGATGTTGAGGTGCAGCAGATATGATTACAGACGTCACAGAGCTCAGGCTTTACTTTTTACACATGTTTATTGGAGGATTTCACAATTATTAAATGTTTTTTTTTGTAAAATTAAAAGCAAAAGCAACCTAACAGGGAAATTTGGATGGTTTTAATTTAGAAAATTTTATATCTGTAACAAAGCTTCTTAGTAAATCCCAGCTGAATGTGTTTTATTTGCCACTAGATCAACAGAGGAGCATAAAATTATTGTCAAACTCAGACACTGGTGCATTAGTTTCATTCAAGCTGATGTAGCCGCTCCTCCAAGTCTATAAGCAAAGTCACAGCTTTGTTTCTGTAGACCAGTGCCTCCCTTTTTCCATCTGATTCACCCACATTTCACCGATTAGAAAGCACATTGGCTGTGATGAATCTGTCGCTGTACATGCAAATGTTGAGTTTTGGTTATTGATTAACTATCCGTTTCAACTTTTCTGCTAGTTTCCCTGCATCCACAGTTGCAGCGCATGAGAACTAACTACTGTTTGCTGCTGGCCTCTTGTAGCTGTTTTTTTATAGGATATTATGACGCTTAGAATTACATACAAAGATCAACATCAGTTCAATTTGCATGCATTCAACACCTAAGTGCAGTTT